GATATCAAATGATAGATCATATAGAGGTTCTTTTTATGAAGGTTAAATAAGGATTCTACAAAAGTATATGAATACAAGAATCACAAAATAACAATGAAGAAATCTGTCTACACAGTGCATGAGATGGAGCACACTGCTGACTATATTCTGGGTAGCTAAGAAGCTCATTACTGCAGTACATAAAACTACTTGTGTAAACTTTGAGATGAGCTCATACAATGCAGCATTGAGCCATACAGTTGGCTTAAGGAAGAGTTTCAGTTGAATCAACTGAACTGGGGGCCATGAGAAGAGCTTTGATTTTTTAAATGGAAGCCAAGTTTATTAAAACTGTCTAGCAAGCAGATATCTGTTAGTGTCATACTAATCAAAATATAATCATTAATCATTATTTAAAGTCAACGTGAAATGATGTCTTAAAGGAGCATTTGTTCTTACGGATGGTAAATGTTACATATTTCTAATAACTTCAGTGATAGACAAGCTTTTATCACATACTTAAGCATCTTAAATGGCTACTGTCCTAAAGACATTAATTTATACATTGTTTTAATTTAGTTAAACACTAAACGAAAGCCACTTCTTCAAATAACATCTGCTATGGAAATTCTGTTTGTAGAGCAACAAAATGCAGATTTGATCTGTTTGAACTCCACATAGACTAAAATGCAAAACGCTTGTTTCTCTACAACTATGCTGTGGTTACTTGAGGCTTGTTAGTGTCCTATTCAATTGTTGCCTGTGGTTTTAAAATAATAGCTGAGAAATTCAGTAACAGGGTGAGTTTGATAATAATCACATCTGGTCAATGAGTTAAATTGCAAAAATCATATATGTGTTAACAATAGACTAACAGTGATTCTATGAGCATAAACCAGAAATTTAGTACACTTGGAGACAAAACAAGGAGATTTAATGTTGGACCATGGAACCAAATGTATACATTTAATACAGTTTAAATTGTTCAAATCATAGTTCAATGTACTTTATACTATCTCAAAAATTCTTACAGCCATATTTTAGTTATCAATATTAAAAACATATATTATAGCCTGTTAATGATCACAGCACTATTTAGAATCAGGAAAGTTATACATTTTGCAGTATTTTCTAATACACCAATAATCTATGTTAATACTTAAATGACAATGAATATCTTGATATTTGTAGTTGGTCAGAAAATTAAACATCATTGTTAATTCAGGACTTTTTCATGATGTGCTATTATGCAGCCTAGATGTAAGTGAATGAATAAGTTTTATGAATCAGGCTTTCAGTTAGCTTATGAAATTAAAATCATTTTGTCATTATAATGTTTTGGAATGCCCTAGTTACAATTCTAACTACCATTCAGTCAGTTATGCAATTTTTGGGACTTTGTGTTACCTTTCTTCTTAGTGTATTATTTATTATTTTATTTTATGTGCATTGGTGCTTTGCCTCCACATATGTTTCTATTGGAGTGTTGAAACTACAGTATAAGTCCTATTATTTAAGAATATTGAAAAGTAAAATCACATATTTAAGTTTGCAATCTGCCTGGCTGTACTTTTCACTATTATGATTATGCAATTTAATAATAATCTCTTAATTTTACTGTTGAATAAACTAAGACATAAGCATGCTAAGTTTCTTTTGAAGTGTATTTGGTGGAAGAGAGATGGGCACAAAAACTTGAGTTCTTTTTTGTGAACTGTTTTGTCCATGAATGTTCACTGAATAACTTTTCATTTGAGCATTTTATGTGGGTTGTTTTATATCAATTAATTGCTGTGACAATAAACAGTAATTTACTCATTTTTGACTTTTATAATGAAAAAAATGTTTGGAACTGAATTAAAAAAAAACAAAAACAAAAAACAAAATACTCTTCATTTCTTTGGCATACATTTTAGCCAAAACAGCTGAACTGTATGTTTGTCAAACTTGGCAGGACTGGAGTCAGACAGAGAGTAATCTCACGCCAGCTTTCATTTGAAATTAAATGTTCTGCCAAAGTTATATGCTACTGAAAATTGGGACTTCACATTATTCTTCCAATTCAATATATACCACCTATAAAAATTCTAATTTAAATAGGTACTATTGTGTTATTATAAAATGGGTATAATATGCTCTTTAGTCCTAGCATTCCCAAGGAACGTGACTCTTGTCAGTTGAGTCATTTGGAAAGGCATTGGCTCTCTCATTTATATTTTATGTTGTTTTATTACTCTCTTCAGAAGGAGAGTCTCTTCCCATGGATATTGTTTCGACCCCACTTCCACACTTAAATTTCATTTTATGGTGTTTCTATGTTCCTCTAGTTTTTATGCAAATGTTTCTGAAATATCTACGTATTTCACTCTTCTGAGTAACCCATACATAAACAATTTTATGTTCTTTCAGTGTAGGTAAAGTTTAAAAAGAATGATGTAAACTTTTTATACAACACACATACTATAATTCTAAGTAGTGAAAAGTCTAATCTGTCTATCTATCTGTCTGTCTATCTACCTACCATCTATGTATCTGCCTACCTATGTGCTGTAAGATTTATCTAATGTATTGGCAGAGAATGCTGTAACTAGAGTAGGTTAGTTTTGATTTAAAATCATTAAATGACTAGAAAGTCAGGAGATAATTGAGCCATGTTTTCTGATGCTATTCAGTGCTTCACAATCAGGGGCTCTGGCTCATGCTGTCATATATTTAGTGATATAAGTTGAGTGTTTAGCCTTTGTCCCCTTTACTCAAGCCTGTTCCCAAATGCAGATCATTAATCACCAATTATGTATCTCCTTCACCCAACCCAGCCAACTTTACTCTCCTAAATAAGTCTGGAGTTTTTTTTTTTTTAATTTCTACTCACTTTCACATTTTAAAAATCACAACCTACATTTGAATAGCCTTTCTCTTTCTGAATAGCATGTGAATGCCTTTCAAGACTGAGCAGAAATATTTATGCCAAATATGACATATTTTCTCTCTTCTCCTGGATTTGGTAAAGCTTTTAGCCCAAGTCTCTGCTGTGCCCAGCCTATGACCCATATATTCATCTAAGGACACCCATAAATATGGTCCAACACAAAATGATAAACTTACTCAAAATATTATCAGTTTCTTTTTTGCTAGTTTTGATAACTCGGATGTGAGGCATGACGTCTGTATCTCATGACAACGTGCTGCAAAATGGAATATTGCACATGCTTGACAGTTACATTTGCAGTATGGGAGTTAACCTGCTGTGATAATGCCTCCGTAGTTTACCCAGGATGGAAATCTAACTCTCAGATTGCTTCACATGTGATGTGTGTTCAGTGTTGAGTTTGATGAACTAATAAATAAATATACACATGTATCATTTTTTTCCTGTTTTATACTGTATATGTTTGTATGATGCTATGGCTATTGTTAACAGGTCTAAGTATCAAAACTTTACATGAGCTTCCGTAAAAAAAATTAAAATGTGAAGGAGTGGATGATATTATAGTTAATTATTACTTCAGGAAAAATGTTTTTTTTTGTTGTCATAATAAAATGCTTATGGCTGCATACTTTATAAACTGGTGACATTAATTTTAGCATATATGTCTAAAGACTAAAAGGCATCTGAAGTAACTGCAACAGTATGTGCATTCTGACGAGGGTTACCACTTATGTCCTAACATGATACCCAAGAGAAAGAGGAAACAGAAACATGAAGGAAGCAGAAGAAGTCACACTCACATTGTCATGGCTGCTTTCCCCCTTCACCATTTAGTCCCTTCTGGTTCTCCACACAGGTGACATAATTACCTTGCTGTAGGTAATAATTTTGCCATATCTGAATAGCTGCACAGTGAAGAACAAAGGCACTTGTCCTTCTTAATTCCACACACCTAAGGAGGATGCATTTAACAAACATCAATTCAAACCAAGGAACACTAAGAACTTTGAATACATTACTACACTTTACAAGTGTATCTCATAATACATGTACAATTAATAATGCTTACAATTGGAGCAAATATAAGCAGTGCTTTTGAAATCCTACAAAGCTCTTCAGTTGGCTAAGAATCCACATCTGATAAGCTAAGGCTGCAAGGCTATGCTCATAAAAGTAGCATATAGTTATTTTATTTTAAAATCTTTCTGTATTGTGTTTGTATAACTAAAATTATGTCAGTTGACATAATTTAGATTAGACAAAATAATAAAAAGTTATTATCAATAAACATTGGGGGCAAGGCAGTGAGTGGAATGTTTGCCTAACATCATAAAGATTTGAGCATCCTCCCATCAGTACTTTGTCTGATAGATTCTGATACTTCCAAAGACTGAGGCATGTAGAAGAATGAGAAGTATATAGTGTGTCATCCGCATTACCTTCGCTTTGAAAAGGCATGACTGAGATATAGCAGACCTTGTTTAAAAGAGAAAGAGAGAGAGAGAGAGAGAGAGACAGACAGATTTCTCTGTGTGTGCCTCTCTGTCTCTGTCTCTCTCTGTCTCTCTCTGACTCTCTCTCTCTCTCTCTCTCTCTCTCCCACTCTCTCTCTCTCTCTCTCTCTCTCTCACACACACACACACACACACACACATGCACACACACATTGAGACATTCACAAAGAGAGAAACACAGAGACACAGAGTCAGAGAGAAGCTACTTTAAACTTTGACAATAATACATATAATTTTTTACATCTTATGATTAATTTTTAAAGCCATGAGACAAGATAGCCTTTGAATGAATTATTCATTCACCCATGCTTTTCCTTTGTTAGTCTTTTTGCTTCCCTTAAATTTTCTTTGTAGATACAGATGCGATTGCTTTAACTCCTTTCTCCTCTACTCCACTCAATATATCTTTAAAGTTAAGCTATTAAAACTCTGAGAGAAAAGAAGCTGTTGAAAGCATGAAGTTGGAATCTGTTGCAGTTTTCACTTTCTATTTTTATCTTTTCTGAGTTTCAGCAGCTCTTCCTTCCTCTCTTGATGGTTTGAAAGATTGCTTTTTAAGCTAGCTATATCACCACAGTGTATAATAAAACATGTTTGCAGCACTTTTATGACAACAGAATCTCTTTCGTGCTTTTCTGGCATTAACAGCTGAGACCGTTACAAGGAAACCCTAGGAGACAAGGTAAAGATGACAAAGGTGATAAACACCTACTTGGGGAATGGGGAAGACACGCAGCCAATTCCTTTCATTTATATTGACTGAGGCAGTCCTGGAGACTAAACTGGCTAGAAGAATAATGTGGTTCCAGGGATGAAGTGTAAGGAGGACACTTTTCTTTTCATCATGAAAATTTTCACATAGTGCCCACTACAATTCTCACCATCTATTGATGGATTGCTCTGACATTACCTTGCCAAGTTAATTATCATAACTCAGAAATGTATTTTTATAGGAATTTTCTCTATAAACTCAAGTTAGACTTGCCAAATAGGTCAAATAAAAATACATGATACCAAATTAAATTTAATTTCAGATTTAAAAAATTATAAGTGTGTATGTGTATATTTATTGGAATAGTCCATGTCCTGTATACTACTTATACTAAAAAATATTTTGCTAAATTTTAAATTTACCTGAAGGGGCATTTATGAAAGATGTCTATCAGTGTGCTTACGTAGACAATGCAAAAGTTCAGAGTAATATAGAATTTATTTGTAGCCCATTTATATGCTCAAATTTCAGTTTTAGATCTTGGTACAATATAGTATGTATTGACATATTGCCTCTAAAATTTGTTCATAAGCTAAAAATAAATTAATAGATTTTTTACTTATTTCTCTATGAACTGTCTGTTTAAAGTTCCCAACAGATTACACAAAACAAATTACTAGTTACATTAGCTATATAAAATTCAGCATATCCAGAGATCAAGACCTGGTTTTTTTGTTTGTTTGTTTGTTTTTAAGGAGTGCTTCTAACATGGCAGTACCATCAACCATATCCACAAAGCTACTGAATGTATATTAAGTCTACTAAGATTTACCTTTTCAATCTGAAAACAATTGCTTTACTTTTGAAATTTGAATCAAGAACAATAATTATGTCATTATTGTAGAATTCAAAACTAATTAAAATATTATCACAATTTTAAGAACGGTTCTTAATACAATACACTTTTACCTTTCATCTGGCCATTAAAATACCGCAATATTAAACCAAACTACAAAGTAACAGTAATGATGCTGGAAATACTACTTTTGACACATTTGAGAACTATTCTCTAACTTATTTTTGTTAAGTTGATTGTATCTTATCTGTATGAACTATACACCATTTGTTTCCACTTTTCTGTAACCACTTATTGGGTAGTTCATGCACATAAACCAAAATAGACTTATTCACAGTTTAAAAAAATGTGTCTGGCATTAATTCTGTACAATAAGTTTGTACTATAGCAACCAACCTAAACTGAAACTGTGTCCCTCTGGAATATTTTCATTTTAGGCATTAGCTGGAGGCATATTCTGTGATACTGAAAAGCAGATGTTAAATGCTGAGAGTCAATATTGGCCAACAGATAATGCAGAGCTTCATGCAGTATATAGCAGCTTGCCCCTACAACTTGATATAGCACATTCAGTTCCTTGACTTCTAATCACTTGTATCTTTTTCAAGTTTTCAACCATGAATCCTATGGCCATAGAGCTCCATAATAAAGGTTAAAAGATAGTTCTTGCTGACTCCAGTATTCATACCTATTTGGAAGCATGTCTGTCTTTGAAGAACCTGGCTTCTCTATGTTATTTCAAATGGTCTTGTTCCAGATGGAGTGATGATATTACTTTTATAGATTGATCCAGCAGACCCTACAGTTGCATGCTATCTGACTCCTGGAATGTTCTAGATGAGTCTTGTGCTCATTTTTTTTCTTTTTTTATTGGATATTTTATTTATTTATAATACAGATATCATCCACTTTCCCCATTTCCCCTCCCTAGAATCCCTTATCCCATCCTCCTCTTCCTTTATGCTTTTATACCATTTTGATTACATGCATGTATTAAGGTCAGTTTTAGGTTGAGGGTCTAACAATACAATAGATGCAAATAGTCAAGGAACAAGCAATACAATAAACACAAATAGTCAGAGAAAAGCAAGGCATTGAACCTAATTATGTGAACACTCTCATGATCACTGTTTCTAAGGGCTTATTAGGATGACCAAAGTATCTGAACCTACTTCCCTGTCCTATCCCAAGGTCATTTTCATGTCTGAAGCCTACTTCCTTGTTCTAGCCTAAAATTTAGATTCCTGTCTGAAATTATTTCTTTGTTCTAGCCTAATGTCAGATTCCTGCCTACTTCCTTGTCCATGGCCAATGTCACATTCCTGCCAAGCAACCATTTCCTTGTCCTTGGCCCATGTCAGATTCTTTTGTGCTCATTTTTTTAATAGACTGAACAATACACTTGCTGATGAAATATTTGGAGAAGAACTCAATGGAAGAAATGATCCTGAACCACCTTGTTCATTCTGCATCCTCATTCTGCATTTTTTCCTGTAAATTCATAAATTAATTCTTCTTTTTCCTATAAGTTTGGACTTAACAGAAGTTTTAAGGAACATTAAAATATGGATCGTGGGCTAGGGGCCTACATAAATGTTGGATGGGCATAGAAGCTTGTCTGTAATTTTAGCCCTGAAAAGAAGAGACAGGGGATTCTTAGGACAATCTGGTTAGCAAGGTTAGCCATAGTTGTGAACTCTGAGTTTAAGAAAACCTGCTCCATTGAGTAAGGTGGAAGAGCTATAGCAGATGATTGCTGATATCATCCTCATAACTGAGCATGTACACACATTATTGTAAAGTAAGTATACCCATTCAAATACACAAGACACACACTCACACATACACACATGGAAAATGGTTGGTAAACTAAATTATGGATTGATGGTGATGTAAGATGCAGCCAATAAATAAGCAGTGAAAAAAAAGGACATAAATTATTTTTCCAGGCTATGATTTTACTGGTAAGATATCTCTCTCTCTCTCTCTCTCTCTCTCTCTCTCTCTCTCTCTCTCTCTCATTTATTATTATTTTTTACCAATTCTGGCTGAGTAGGGTCCCTTACCTTGTAACAAATGCTGCCAGGTCAGAATATTTTCAGTAACCTGATTCTTGCTGTTCGTTAACAAGCAACTGAGACATGCAGAGGTCTTCAAACTATTGAGATTTTTACATACTTGAATATGATATATTGAGAGATGATTATATTCCTTGTACCAGCGGGAGACTATTTTTTCTCTAGAATTATAACACTATATAGTATAAACTACTTATTAGTGTTTAATAATTTATTCCATTTTCATATCTTCAGTTTTTAATGTATTTGAAATACTAATATAACATTTTCTGATTTTTAAAAGTATTGCTTCTATTTATATCTTATGTTACCCCTTTTCTCTGGAAGCTTATATCATGGCAACAGAATGCAATTCATTCCATTTGTCTTGAATTCCAAGATATGAGGAAATTAGATATTTCAGTGGATATCATCAGAGGTGAGACGTATAAAAGAAACAGATATTTAATTTCCTATCCATAACTTAGACATATATTGTCTTCAATTGTATCAAAATTCAATAAGCTAAAGCTTTCTATGTTAATTCAACTATTTTTCTGATACTTCCATCAGAGAAGTTAAAATTGAAAGTATCTCCCCTAAAAGTGTGGGTGGTTATCATACAATTCATGTCCTGGTGTCTTTGTTCTTGCTGTTCATTCTGTCTGGATGGCTCCATATGCATTCTATAGCTGACTGATTCAGAAGAATGAAACTTTGAATCTATCCCCTTGTTCCTACATATATCTCAGTGAAATAACAGTAAAGCATTATTTGAAACTCTTTTCAAACTTAAAGTTTTAGCTTGCTAATTATTTTAGAGTCTGATGCTTTTTGTTTTTAATTCAAGATTTTTTTTTTACTAAAATCATTATGCCAAGGATTACTTCCCTTGAGAATTCAAGTAAATTAATGTGTTGGAGGAACATTGAATCAGAAAAATCTCTTTTATTTCAACTGGAAACAGTCTATCAAAAGGCACAGGTCAGAGTGGCAGAGGAAAGAAAAGGATAAATACAAGACTGTATAAAACATAATTTATTAAGGATGTACTGGTCATAGTGTGTCTAAGACAGATGAACCTCTGAGACTTTAGTAAAAGGAAGCAAGTTATACGATAAAGTAGACAAATAAGTTTCAATGCCCAAGTGAGTTGGCTTGTTTTCTCAGAGTGATTGACATGTGATTGACATCTAATAATATTTTCATGAAGATTGTGACATGCATATCAGGAGTATCTTTTAGGCAAGACAGAAGTTACAACCCAAATGATTGCAGTGACACCAAGTTGGAAATGTACAAGTATCTATGGATAAGTTGGATTAATATTTTGATAAGCAATCTTTATATTCAGCGCAATTCCTAGAAAAAATTCAACAAAATTATTCACAGAAATATAAACATAATATCAATTTCATATGGAAACACCCACATGTGCGCATGCACAGATACACACAAACACACACACACAAACACACAGTATAGATAAAACAATACTAAAAAATAAATGAATTTCTGGGGGTATAATATTCCAAGATTTCAAGTTGCACTATGGAGCTAGAGTAATAAAAATAGCTTGGTATATTTTTTGACATAAAAGAAGAGATGTTAAACAGTGGAATCAAACTGCAGACTTAATCGTAGTTGTAGACACAAAAACCTGACTTTTGACAAAGAAGATAAACATACATACTAGAGATAAGACATCTTCAACAAAAGACACTGGTCACACTGTATAGCTGTATATTAGAAGAATGGAAATAGATACATATCTATTACTCTGCACAAAACTCAACTACAAATGGGTCAAGAACTTCAACACAAGATTTGACACCATTTATCAACAATGAAAAGAGTTAAAAGATACTTCTGAAGAATGGTGTAGAAGAGTAAGGTGATCACTCAATTCTAGTTTTTATGTTCATTTTATCAGTATATGTATTAAGTTATACTTATTCGAAGTTATTTAAGGATAAATTACTGATCTTTATTAAAGAAAACATAAATACAGCCTTTGGAAAACACTATTCTCTGTCAACTTCTATGTGACTAACACT